GTTGGGGAAGCTGGTGGCTGGTCTACCAAAGAGGATTTTAATAGAGCTCTATGAGCAATACTTTGAGATATTCTGCATTAAGAAATTACTTTGTTAATACCTTTGCTACATTTTAGTTAATCCTGGCCATCTGGAACCTTTGAACATTCTTTAACCACTTGGTGAAAGTTTTCTAGAAGTTTTAAAGAAGAATGGAATTGTCCATGGGAAGACCAGGGAGCAGACCTTGCAGATCAGTCTAGTCCCGAGGAGCCACCCTGGCCTTCCCAGCAGAGCGAGACTACCTCCCCCCAGGAACCCATTTCTCCTTCTCTTGAACCTGGTGCAGTCCAGCTCCTTTGGCAGGACATGCAGCAGTGTAGACTGTAAAGGATGTTTTCCAGTTCAAAACATTTTCAGTGACTCCTCTAGCATAACATCAAAAAATTCTAAGGCCTGTTCTCAAAGTGAGGTCCTAAACCACCACCAGCAGCAGCACCTGGCACATATCAGAAATGCAAATTATTGGGCCCCCTTCTGAACTACTGGAGGTGCCCTGAAAATTGAGTACTGTAGCATTGAGAGCTGCCCTTCAGCCAGTTTTTTTAAGCTTATATCCTTCTACTTCCTTACAAACACCCTAGGATGCAGCTAATTTGTACTCTTACGTGTTTACGGCTATGTGAATATATGGACATGTATAGGTAGGTATTTCATATATATATATATATATATATATATATATACATGTTTATAAAATTTCTCTCTATATACTCTTTGTCCATAATGTCTATAGACATCACTCAATTATACTTTCTCCTAGACCATCCTTACATATTCTCTTAAATCCAACTTAAAAGATAACTATTGCCAGCCACTATGGGAATGCAAAATGGTCCAGCCACTGTGGAAGACCATGTGGAGACCCTCAAACTGCTAAAAATTGAGCTACCAAATGGCCAACAATGCCACTCCTAGGAATCTACCCAAAGGACACAGAAACTGCCTGGACTCCTGGCCAGAGCCTGGGGTTCCCTGGATCCTGACCCACCCCCTCATTGTCCTGAGCTTCCTCCACCACCATCATATAGCAGTGTGGGCCATACTAGCCCCTGTACACCTCAGTGCCACAATAAACTTATATCCAGCTGTGGAAAAAAAAGACAGAAAAACATTAATAGGAAAGGAAACGTGCCCTCCTATGTTTATTGCAGCACTGTTTACAATAGCTAAGATTTGGAAATAATCTAAATGCCAAAAACCAGATGACTGGATCAAAAAATGTGGTGTATACACACACACACAATGGAATACTATTCAGCACTCAGAAATGATAATCTCATGCCATTTGTGGCAACATGGGTGGGAATTTTATGGGGACTACACCTTAGAGGAGAAATCAAACATTGTACAAAAATGAACAATGATGTAAAAAAACACATACATAAATAAAGAAAAAGACACTGTTGGAGAAAGCTTTTCCCTTTAATAGATATGACCTTTCCCACTCACAAAACCTGATTCCATATTCTAATAGAATTTATTTTAATTGGCCATGATTAAGGACTTATTATTTATTCATCCCACTTGGGAGCATCTACTCTATATTTAGCACTGTTCTGGGCCTTGAAGATACAAGGGGAACAAGGCAAACATCTCTGGAACTGAGAAGTCAGTTAGGGGAAGATGATTGTTCTTTGAGGGAGCACTGATATGTCAAATGTCCAGGTGTCCCCCAGGCTATGGTTAAATCAAGGTGGACAGAGCGGAAGGTGATGTACTAATCTTTTCTGGTGCATAAAGAATGAACCAAACTATTGTACTTTCTTTGGGGTACCCCACTCTGAAGTGGTAATGGCTTTGTAGCCCACAAAGAGGCCTTGGCACCCCTCCTCTGGGTGAAAGTCACCTCCTCTAAACCAAGGTTCTTCAACCTCGGCACCTGACCTTGTAGACCGGGAAATTCTGGTCATGTAGAGCAGTCGGCATTCTAAGACATTGAGGAGAATCCCTGACTTTACTGGATGCCAGTAGCATCAGCCTTCCAGTGTGACAAGAAAAAATGTGTCTGGACATTGCCAAATATCCCTTGGTGGACATAATCACCCCAGGTTGATTTTACCTGCAGAAATTAAGACTTCAAAGGAATGTAAAAACTCTCTCTGGTGTCTGTCAGATCACTGTGCCAAAAAAAAAAAAAAATGGATGGTTTCACTTATAGCAGGAATATAGGGGAACCAAATAAGACATCAGTATAAAAAAATAATAACAGTACAAAACAAAAGCAGACAATTATAAAGCAGAGACATCCTGCAGGGGAGGAGGAGGGAGAGGGATCAGAAGGAGGGAGGGAGGAGCACATGGGACTGAGGTGATGGTGCACAGGTGCATTGGGGAAGGAAATTCTATGGGGACACCACCTGAGGAGGGGGAAGCAAATATTGTTTTCAAATGAATAAAAATGAACAATGATGTAAAAAATAAATTAAAAAAATAAAAAATAAATTAAGCCAGAGGGGAAAACTGGAAGTTACAGGAACTGGAATTTGGAGAAGACTTTTCTTATTGCAAGAATACATAAAAGTTTCAATGCCCTGTTGTAGGCCTTGCTGAATTACGTGTATTCAACAGGCTTGTATACATTTCCTTTTAGGAGGGATTTGGGGATTACAGGATTCTGAGGATACTTCAAGTTCTGAGATTCAGTGCTTTTATGTTTGAATTGTTTTTAAAGTGGCTTATGAAAAATTAAATAATCCTTTGAGGATTTGGGAGGAGCAGAGGAAGTTAGAGTGATGAGGTGAGCATCCTGCAGCCCATCGCACCAAGGAATTTATTGGAAAGATAGAAGATGGCTTTTATATTGCAGGAAGAGAGAGAGAATGAGAACCTGGAGGGGCAAGATCTTGGCTGTGCAAGGAGCAGGAGCCACTTCCAGCCTGCCAGGAGGCTGTGTGGGGGCCGAGGTCCTCCCCTGACTGGCCCATTTCTGCCTCACTCTGCATGGTGATCAGAACCCCAGGGGAAGGTCTAGTTGATTTCCTTAGCTGGAAAAGTCAGAGTCCCATCATTTTCTTTCCCAACAGCTCTGCAGCAAGAGAAAGCAAATGACTCCCAGTGGGTTTGGAATGCTAGTGCCGACAGAAAGGAGGGAGAGCAATAAATGAACACCACCACATGTCTCATCTAGGCCCTCTAGCAGGCAATGAGGAAGGGAGCAAAGTTTATTAGTAGAGTCATTCAAAAAAAATTTACCACTGTGATATCACTTGCTTTTCCTATAAATCAAGAGCATGGAGGTAATTCCAGCTAATGGTGGGTCTTTCATTACGGAGTTGTCTTCTGTTAGATTTTACTACCATGTCACTTTTTATAGAGAATATGAGTTGTGGAGGGCGCCCTGCGCCATTCTTGGGTCTACTGTTCCTTGCACTTTAGTCCAGCTCAGGACCCCCACTGCCCTGCTGGCCATGGCAGCTTCCCGGAAGCGTGTGGTCAGCTTCTCCTTGAGGCCTTGAGGGTCTAATCCTCCCCTCCCAGCTCTGAGGCAGCCTCTTCTCAAGTTCCCACACTGGGCTTTCCTTCTCATTCTCCCTTCTCTTGCAGCTCATCCTACCACCACCTCTTCAAAGAACATAGCCATTGTTATATTGTTATGCTTTGATTTAAGAAAAGAAAAGAAGAGGTGGAGAAAATTAACAACGTGAATTGCATAAAATGAGTGTAAGGGGGCGGTTCATCATTAAATGCTACAGATCTTACAGAATACACTTACCCTTCAGGCTGTCTTTCATGCTTATTCTTTGACCCTTTCAAAGACAAATAGCTGAGAGACCTATTGTGGTAATTTGCCTCTTGTCAAATTTCATGAACTGCCTGGGCAGGGAAGCAAGGATGCCACGGCTGGACTCACATGCAAGGAGCAGTCTGGGAGTTAGAGACTAGATCGTTGAATGGGGCAAATTACAAGACCCCTACCTGGAGGTAAGAAGAAAGCGCCATAGGCAAAACATGGACTCAAAAACAGGTGTATGATGAGTCCTATCAGAAAGACCAGACCCTGATAGAGGGAGGGGGCCTAAACAGAAGACAGTAAATGACAGCACAAGAAATAGTTACAAGTTTACATTCTTGGCATCAGAGAAAATTACATGATCTGAGCCAGAAGTAAAGCATGTCAATTCTATCACCAGTCAATGGCCAGACCAGTCACTTGGACCCATCTGACCACAGGGAGGTCAGGAAGTGCCTGCACCTGACAGGAGAGCAGGCAAACGGCAGTAACAACTTAGACCTGCCATTATCAATGCCAGGTCCCTCTTCCATGAGTTCTGATTCTGGAGATCCTTTCTATCTGCATTTTAAATAGGTCCCTCAGATAAGGTTGGTACAGGGCAGCAGAGAGCGGTTCTGTAGAGGTAGGCCATCAAGGGAGGTGAGCAAATCTGAGTCATGGTCTTAACATACAAATGGAGGCATGAACCACAGTCACCTCAACTTGTTATCACAAAGGGTAACAGATGCCTGAATATTGAGGCCCAGAGAGCGGGACAGAAGCTCCTAAAATGCCCAGGGTGTGTTGGCTCCGTGCTTGAGACAGAGCAGGACCCTCAGGTGTGTGGCAGGCTCCACAGGCGTGTTGGGAGAGTAGAGCCGTGGGGCCTGCTCCTCGCAGTGCCTTGCAAGATGGGATGTGAAGTTTCCATTCACATTGGCAGAAACTCATTGGCCGGTATAACATATGTTATTGGACAGTTGGTTCTTCCTCTCCTCTGTTATTTTCTAGCTTCTTTCTCCCTTCTCTGCCTACACACACTTTCCTGTTTCTTCCACCATATTTTTTTCTTCCCACCTTATTTTTATTCTCTACTTCTCCCTCCAATTATCCTCTTTGCCAGTATTTCCTCCTCTTATCTCCCTTCTTCATTCCCTGTCTCCTCCCTTCTCTCCCATCAATTATCCTCCCTGTCCCCTCCTCCTTCCTTCTTTCCCATGCCACCCACCCTCTATTCTCTCCCCAGGTACTATGCCATCTGCTGCCAGCCCTTGGTCTACAGGAACAAGATGACCCCTCTGCGCATTGCATTGATGCTGGGTGGCTGCTGGGTCATCCCCATGTTTATCTCTTTTCTCCCCATCATGCAAGGCTGGAATAACATTGGCATCATCGATCTGGTGAGTATTGGCAGACCCTTTTGGTTGACTGTCTGATTAACTTTGTTTGCTTAGAATTCTAAGTAAAGAAACAATACCAGGTTGGATGGATATTCCAAGAAAGATTCTGATAGCGGTCTGGGTGGCAACAATAGCAACCAAAAAGGCAAGCTACTCTTTTTGAGTGCTTAAAATGTGCCAGAAAGTATGCAAAATATTTACAATCCTGACAACATCCTTTTCTCATCTTATCCAGGTAAGAAAATTAAGGCTCAATAGATAAGCTAACATGCCCAGTCTTAGGCATCATAAGTAGTGAGATCCAATATTTCAGTCAGCCTGTAGAGCCTGAGGTGTGCCATGTGCCTGAGAGACCTTCCCATCCCATGCTGAGAGGCTCCAAGACTTACAATGAACCACAGACACTCGGTCTTGTGGGTAGAAGCTTCTAGAGAATGAAGAAAGCCTTGGGTCAAAGAACTGAACCCTACATCCAGGTCAGTCACTGACCCTCTTCCTGAAGGGCCACTTTCATTGACCCTCAGTGGAGAATAGTGCCTTTCAGGGGTGCAGGCGAGCAGCATGATTTACATCTGCCACCACCATTGAGATGACCTTTAAGAGTCACCCAGCTCTAATATGCTACGCTTGCAATACCAAACTTGTGATGAAGATCAAAAGCTGTTGTCTGGACTCATTAGCAAAGATATATATCCCCAAAGGAAGTTGTTAGGCAGTCACTTTAAAATTGACCCGAGGACCATGCCAGGTAGGAAGGGGACTAGGGAGCAGAGGTAGAGTAAGCTCCAACCCCACAGGGTGGGTTAGAGTAGGCACTGCCTCTTCCTCTCAACACCCAATTCCTAGCCCCTAATCTTGCCTTGTTCTTTGTCCAGGAAAGGATATCCCCACCAAGGCTGGGCCAGGATTTGCATGTGGTATGTCAGAACAAGCATTCCTTGGGCTTCTGAAAGAAATGCTGGGGACACAGCAGTGGAGAAATGAACAGGGGTCCGTAAAAGGGGGCCTGTCTGGATCTTTTCTTGAATGCTATCCCTTTTCTTTCAAACTTGCAGTTTTCTCTTTCCTGGGGAGAGGGAAATTCCAGTTTCCAAAAGCCAATAGAATGATAGTAATAATGGCCAACAAATGTGGGACATTTGCTGTGTAGCTCACACTTCATCATTCTTCACTCAGGCCTCACGCCAGTGCCATGAAGTACATTCTACTATAGTCCTCAGGAAACTGAGATCAGAGAGGTTAAGTTACTAGCTAAAGGCATATTGGTAGGCAGTGGTGGGGTAAGTCCAGGCCCCGGAAACCTATCCTCTTAATGTTTGTGTTAAAAATTTCTCCCCAGTGGAGATGATGTTTGGAAGCATCAACTTCTGTGCATCAGGACACTTAATGAGAGAGAGTTTCCAAGGCAAGTAACCTAGGGAATTGCTGTTCATTTATGAGAATAAGATATTGACATCCCCTGCTTTCTTATAACCAGGGATGGGCATCTGCTTACTCTTAAGATGCCTCACAGTTGGTCCACTAGGTGTGACTGCATTTCATATCCCTCTGCTCAACTGCATGTTGACTATGCCTAGAAAGAAGTTAGCACTTGGGCCTCCCCTGGTGGTGCAGGTGGTTGAGCGCCGAGCTGCGAAGCTGTCTGCAGCCTCTGCAGCACTGGTTCTTTGCCGGCCAGCCAGTGAGGGTTCCACATGGCATGGCAGACCTCTCCTGTCTTGCCCACTGCTCCCCTCAGTAGTGTATTTCATCAGTCTGCCTGTTCTGTTTCCGCTCTGTCTCCAGTGAATCCACTCACCCTCCCACGCATCTGGCCTGTACCCTGGTTCTTATATGAATAAATAAATCTTTAAAAAAAAAAGAAGAAGTCAGCACAACTCAGATGTTCACAATACATTTTCAGTGGATCCTTCTTACAGTTATCAGGCTCAATGAAGTTGCCACAAACACTGAATTAGCAAATATTTAATCACTGCTTCTTGTGAAAATTCGGGGCTAGGTTCCTGTGAGTCTCGCTCATAACATCTTCATCAACCAGTCAATATGTAATATGGGCTGCTTGGAAGAGAAGCCCATGAAATATAAGGTTATAGAAAAGTTGGAAATAAAATAATGGAAAACTAACACAAACTAATGAAGAATAAGCTGATGTAGCTATACTGCTGTACATCATAAAACAAAGGAAAGTAATATCACTGGAGGTAAAAACAAAAGCTATTTCCTGAGGATAAAAATGTCATTTCAATAGAAAGGTGTATTCTAACTTTGTCATATAACAGAAGATGCTAAATGTGGATGCCACTATTAAGTGGACAGCTGGGGGGTATGAAAATTTGATATCTTTTTTTTAAAGATTTATTTATTTATGCATACAAGAACTGGGGTACATGCCAGAGGTGTGGGGGGTGAGAAGATTCACCAGAGACAGAGTGGGGAGCAGAACAGGCAGATCTACTGAAATACACTGCTGAGGGAAGCAGTGGGAGAGCCAGGAGAGGTCTGCTGTGCTATGTGGGTAGCTTCCTGGTCGGGCATTGAATTCATGCTGCAATGGCTACGGATAGCTTCATAGGTTGTGTCTTAACCCCTTGCATCACCAGGGAGGCCCTCAACTTTTGATATTTATTCCATGTGTATATTCCCACTGGCCAGAGGCTGACCTCAGGGAGGGCATCGTCTTTGGGTTACATTTCTCTCATCAACCACGGGCTATTCCTAGAGAAGGTTGATGACTAACAGCTGTTAGGAGGCAGCATTTCAGGTCGGGAGAAAAGTCTTTCAATCCTTAAAAGGAATCTAGTGTATCACAGTATCCAGTACAAGTGCAGTTTATTCCAGGAATGTAACACGATCAATGCAGATCCTTGTATTAATAAAATAAAGAAGGGAAAGCCCACATTGTCATCTTATTACTTCCCCAAAATACATTGACAAAAATCAGTATTCATTCATGATTTTTAAAAAATTCCCATCATTTAAGAAAAAAGGAACTTCTCAAATAGTGTGCATCGACCAAAAACTTATAGCAAGTAATCATATTTAATATGAATATTAAATATATCCCCCTTCTAAAACTGGAAGTATAACAAGATGTTCACTGTTACCACTTTTATTCAAAATTATCATAGAAGTTTTATCAAGTTCAGTAATGCCAGAAAAAAATTAGTGTTATGTTGGAAAGGAAAAGGTGAAATTGTCATCATTGGCAGATCACATGAGTATTATGAAGAAAATTGAAAAGAATATAGAGAGAAAATATTAGTAACTAATTTAAGAAAGTTGCTAGATAGTCACAATATTAAAAAATTTCACTGAGCCATATATACTAACAACAAACAATTAGAATTAAGAATTTGAACACATTGTCATTTGCAATAGACTAAAATGTCAAGTGCTTAGGAATAAAACTAATAAAATATATGTAAGACATTTACACAAAAGTTGTAAACTATTACTAAAATAATTTTTTTAAAAAAAGATTTGTTTTAGTTTAGGCATACAAGAACTGAGGGGTGAGAAGATTTGCCACAGACTTCAATAAAGGGAGAGAATTACCAAGTTTCTGACACGGAAGACTTCACATTGTGAAGATCTTAATTTTCCTCAATCATCCTTTTCTAACCCAATCAAAATGCTAGGAGACTTTTATTAAAATTGATAAGCTAATTCTAACTCTTATGTGGAAATTCTGAGATATAAAAATAGCCAAAACAGTCTTAAGGAGAATGAGTTTAAAGACTTTTACTACCAGATATCCAAGATTCTAAAGTCAAACAAATTAAACCAATATTGTGCAAGAAACCAAGGGGACAAAATAGAAAATCCAAATATGGAGCCCTGTGTAGACAGCTCCCTGATTTAGGGCTCAGCTCACCCTGCAGTGCAGCTAGGAAACATGGTCTTTCAATAAATGCATCTGAGTCAATTGGATCTCCAGAAGGTAAAATTTTAATCTTGATCTTACACTATTACAGAAACAGTAATTCCAGATGGATTGTAGAATTAGATGTGAAAACTAACACAACAAAATTGGGAAGAGATAATATAGGAGAATGGCTTTAAAAGATTATATATGAGAATATCTTTATACTGGAGGGTAAATAACCATTTTTTTTCGATTTATTTATGTATGCATACAAGAACTGGGGTACAGGTCAGAGGTGCGGGAGGTGAGAGGATTCACCAGAGACAGAGTGGAGAACAGAACAGGCAGATCTACTGCAGTGCAGGTTCGATCCCGGCCGGCCGGGGAGAAACCCACATGGTGCAGCAGACCTCTCCTGTCTTGCCTGCTGCTCCCCTCAGCAGTGTATTTCGTCAGTCTGCCTGTTCTGCTTCCCACTCTGTCTCTGGTGAATCCTCTCACCCTCCCATGCATCTGGCCTGTACCCTGGCTCTTGTATAAATAAATAAATCTTTAAAAAAAATTACAAAAGAAATCCCTTTAAAAAAAAAAAGAAAGAAAGAAAATTGTGTACAGACATAACAGACAGGCACAACTCCTCTACTGCTTGTGCAGAGAGAATGGCTAATGACACTGGCCCCATTTTATTTCCATTCTTCCCTGGGCCCTCCAGCCCTGGGAGCCTGAGATATAGTCACATTCCATCATAGTGTTGTGTGCTAGAAACATATAAGAAAAAAAAAAAAAACCCTTTGCTGATAAACCTTCTCTCTTTTCTTTTCCCTTTACCTTTTTACTCTTCCTTCCCTTCCTGTCCCCTTCTTTCTACCATCCAATACCTTTCATCCTTGTCTTTTTTATCCTTTGCACAACTCTTCTGCTACTATCTCTTCTTTTCCTCTCCCTTCCTCATCTCCTCTTTCCCCCAACTCTCAGATAGAAAAGAGGAAGTTCAACCATAACTCTAACTCTACATACTGCATCTTCATGGTCAACAAGCCCTATGCCATCACCTGCTCTGTGGTAGCCTTCTACATTCCTTTTCTCCTTATGGTGCTGGCCTATTATCGCATCTATGTCACGGCAAAGGAGCATGCCCACCAGATCCAGATGTTACAGCGGGCAGGAGCCCCCTCCCAGGGCAGACCCCAGCCAGCAGACCAGCACAGCAGCCACCGCATGAGGACAGAGACCAAGGCAGCCAAGACCCTCTGCATCATCATGGGCTGTTTCTGCCTCTGTTGGGCACCATTCTTTGTCACCAACATTGTGGATCCTTTCATAGACTACACTGTACCTGGGCAGGTGTGGACTGCTTTCCTCTGGCTCGGTTACATCAATTCTGGGTTGAACCCCTTTCTCTACGCCTTCTTGAATAAGTCCTTCAGACGTGCCTTCCTCATCATCCTCTGCTGTGATGATGAGCGCTACCGAAGACCTTCCATTTTGGGCCAGACTGTCCCCTGTTCAACCACAACTATTAATGGATCCACACATGTGCTAAGGTGAGTACTTAGGGGCTTGATCGATTTTGTTTATTTTCATGACTCAGAAGGGGTAACTCTCCATGGGGGCTGTTCTTGAAAAATTGTGCACTATTTACAAAGATTGAAGAAAATTCTGCCATCTGGTTGTGGAACAGAGTAGTGGGTAGTGGCTCAGTTTCTAGGGGAGACTAACCTACATTTAAATCCAGTCTCTATAGTTCTGTGACCCTGGGCAATTCATTGAGCCATTCTGAGCCCTCACTTCATTTTTAAAATTGGGATTATCATCACTATATCTGCATGAGAGGGTTTTGTTGTGAGGCTCAAAGTAGCTAAATGTATGCAGATACCAATCACAGAACCTGACATCCGATAGGTACTTGGTATAGTACCATCTACTATAATTTAAAGTAGCATTTTAGAGTAGTTGTTAAAGCATGATCTTTAAGGTAAAATAGACTTGATTATTGACTCTCAGTGATTGGTTTCACTTCCCTCAACTGTAAAAAACAATGGTACTAATTCCCATCTTGGAGTTTTCATGACAATTAGAGATGGTGTATTTGTACAGGATCTGGCACATACTACTACTAGTAATGTTATTGATATTAGTTGGATAATAGATACTGCCTGATACCCGAAGAAGACCATTAAATAATGTGATAAGCTAATATGATAAGTATGCATAAAATAAGTAGTGTGAAGTGATGAATGATATAATGAACATGTGGACCATCTAGAAGAGGATATGAGTAAGAAAGGCACTGAAGGACTGAAGGGAATCAGAGGCAATGCTGTATAATAGCGTTTTATGTGAATACGAGACTTGAAGGCACTGCCAAGGAAGCCATCCCAGGAAGAGAGAACTTCATGAAGAAGGAAAAGGAAATGAAAGAATGTGGAAAGGTCAAGTGCTTTACTCAAGGTCACGTAGTTGATGATGGCGGAGTGACTTTGGAGTTGAATGTTCAGTGGCTTGTGCTAATGCCTGTTTCCAAACCCCGAGAATTTTTTGGCTACCCTGGGCTAGATTTGAGCTCGCAGTGAAAAGCCGTGTGTTGTAAGTATATTTGTACTGTAGCAAAGATGAATTTGTCAACGGCACTTTTTTTCTTTGCCCTGAGATGCATAAGAATTTCTAAAGAGCAATTCCTTCTTTCAGACAAGCATTTAATTTTTCTGATGATGACAGTATTCAGCTGTGCTGGCAGCTGAGAAATAGGGGCTTTTCATTTGCATGTGTAAGAAAAGAAAATAGAATTCCTATGAAATATATACGCTTTGCCTGAGAGGCTGCTCAGTAGCATAAATTCAATTTTCTGCTACCAGTGTGGACAGATTTGTAACTGAAGCCTAGTTTGGTGTTAAGATTCCTGCTGGTAGAAGGGTCTCAGGGAATACGCCTCTATGCTGACATTCTCTCCTAATTATTATGACTTAGAGAGTGTTATTTAAAAAAAAAAAAACAATCATACAGTAAAATGTGTGGATGAGAACTTCTGTGTGGGTGCCAGATAGGTTTTAGTATTTAAGCTAGCAATTGCCTGAGTACAGGCTGTTGACAACTCACAAACAAAGTATGCTCCTGCAATACGTTGGCTAAGTCGGTTGTTTAGAACTGGGTGGGCTTTGCCCAAAAGAACAATCCTAGAAAGAGTTTGGGGATTTCTAGGGCAGCCAAAAAACACTATTTTACTACCGCTGTTTTGTTTATGCCTGCTGCTGTGGGACTGTAAAGCAGAGAGCAGAGCAGAAATGGTCAATGCATCTGCTCCCCGTGGTTTATTCCTTCTGTTTGGTCATGAGGTCATGAAAAGAGCAGATCAGGCTTTTTCAGGGGCTTGGGGAATGGGGTGAGTGTGTGTTGAGCAGTCTTTGAAGAACAGGTGCAATCTCTACAGAGAAAACTGCTTGAGACCTAAATCCCCTGGATAGGATCTTTTGCATTGACAGAGATCCTGCCTGTTTTAGTCATTGCTCTATAAACAAATACCCATGATGTTGCCTGATACACAGGAACTATTAAACGATCATACAGTTAATCCCTCAGATTTATTGTTTTAGCCTAACACCGTATATGAAAATTTTACATTTTTCTTAAAAGTGCCCAAGCAGGACATGAACAAATCAGATGAAACCAAGAAATACAAAGCTGAAACAATGAAAAGCAAAATCAGTTTTTGTCCTGCTAATCCTAACCCTGGTCTCAGGTACCACAACTCACTCTAGGCTGGTGATCTTTTCAATGCATTCATGAGCATTAATGAAAAGCATACAAAGTCATAGATTTTCTCCCTTTATTTACTATAAATGGGACCATTCTGCATGTGTTTTCCGGCACCTTGCTTCTTATTCCTTAACAATACGTTTTAGAGATCATTACACCTCTAAACATCTGGATCTAAAATCATTCCTTTTTAACTATTCTATAATCTTCTTACTAAAAATGAATATTAAAATATATTTAATTATTTCCCTTTGTGGTTATGTAGGTGTTTCCAACCACTGACCACTACAAACTGTTTTTAATGTCCTTGTATGTGTCTTTGTGCTGTGTCAGTATTTCAGATAGCTGCCCAAAGTGAAATTGCTGGGATGACATGGATAGGCATTTAAAATGTTATATTTACTATAAAACTGACCTGAAAGCTGGGGTTACTTGCATTCTCATCTGCAAGGTGTGAAAGTAGCTTCTGTTCCTTCATCTTACCAACACTGTTATGCATCTTTTATTATTTTGCTAATTGAAGAAACCTTTCATTTATGTTGCATTTTGCAAATAATCTGGCAAGTTGAATTTCTCTTAAATTGGTTATTAATTAATTTAAAAGTTACTGACATTTATTTATTCTTATATAACATTATGTATCCTTGTTATTATATAAACTGCATCTTCATGTTTGGTGCTTTATGTGACTGCTGCGTCCAAATTTTCTTACTGATCTCCAGATGTTCCTTATTATATTGTTAATATTAATACATTGTTATATAGTTTACAAATACCTCTCCCTATCTTCTTACTTCAGTTAAGTTTTATATAGAAGTTTCAAACTTGGAAAATAGTACTCTTATTTGACCTCTTATAATCAGATCATTTTCTTTCTCGAAATATTTTTACATTCATTTCCCTAAACCCCACACTTTTCTGTTTTTTTTTTTTTTTTTTTTTTTGTCCTAACAGTAACTCTCTTTTAGTATCTTTCACAGATTTTTCCTTCTCTATCTGGCCTCAAAATTGTGCAGTCCTTCAGGCCTTGGTTTTTGATAATCTTCTCAAATAACATTCTCACTTTTGTGATTTAATCACCAGTAGCTTTAAATACCATCTTCAGGCTGCCAACCTCTCTTTAATTAATATCTGCAGGTCATAGCTGTTCTCTCAGCAACAGACCTCAAAATCCAATTTGTTTCCTTGACAACCCCATATAGATGCCTCTTAGGAATCTTCAGTGTGTCCAAAAGAGAATTCTATATCCTATCTCCGCCCGCAAATTTCCTGAGTCTTCCCTATATCCATAAATGGAACTATCACTTACCACATTACTAAATCTAGACACTCTCTATGGCTGTGAGGAAGAACTAACACATTATGAGGCAGACTTAAAGATGAAAAGACAAAAACCCATGGGTTTGGTATTGAAAATATGGAGCTAAATAAAAATAAAGGACAAATTCAACTTGCAGACAAAATATAAATCACAGCCATATAGGATGATGCCTGAATAAATTTATACTTGCATGTGTGAAATTTGAAATTTGGTGAGTGTGCCTTCCTTGTTCTCCTCTAAGGCAAGGCACTGGACAGCTGATTATAGCCCTCCTTCTACATCATCAATATAATGATTATGGCACCTGACATCATTCAGAAAAGTTTGACAGATACTGTATTTGAGAATTTTTGATCGTGTCATTACATTTAATGTTTACAATGACCAAAGAAGTTGCTATTATAATTATCACCATTTTAAAGATGAGAAAAATCAAGTTTAGTGAGGGTAAGGAACTGGCCCATGGTGACATAAGTAATCCCTGAAGAAGCTACAGTTTAGAGCCAAGTCTTTCCTCCTCCCGAGCTCTGTCCTGCTCAGCCTACATGGAGTGAGGCCGGGGTCACATTTCCCATGTTTATCTGACTCTTTGGATCATCAATGAGCCACTTATTCATCTCTCAATTCTGCCATCCTGCTCATAGTTCTCTTTATCAAGCCAGAAATGATTATAATTTGTTCAAGTCCAGGCATTTTTCAGTCTCTTCTTAAAAGGGAATAAGGTCAGGTCAGAGGGACCTATTTATTCTCAGTAATCTCATCTTGACTCTCGCTCTGGGGACCTATGAGGTATTCAAAGAAACAATCCATTTAAAAGAAGCCCACGGGCCTCCCCTGGTGGCACAGGCAGTTGAGCACCATGCTGTGAAGCTGCCCGCAGCCTCTGCAGTGCCCCTTCGATCCCAGCTGGCCGGCGAACGTCCCACATGGCGCGGCAGAACTCTCCTGTTGCACCCGCTGCTCCCCTCAGCAGTGTATTTCGTCAGTCTGCCAGTTCTGTCCCCCGCTCTGTCTCTGGTGAATCCTCTCACCCTCCCACACATCTGGCCTGTACCCCAGTTCTTGTATAAAATAAATAAATAAATCTTTAAAAAAAATAAAAAAAAAGAAACCCACTTCAATGCTGATGTTAAACTTTTCTTCTAGAGTTTAGACCCATCTCTTCTCACATTTCTTCAATGGGTTATTATTTTCTACTTCCTGTGCATAGAAATGGACTGTTTACATGGCATGTGTGCTGTGTGAAGTCTGCAAAATGCCTTATTTAACTCCTTTAAGACCAAACATTCCTATGACTTTTTCTTTTCTATGTACTCTATCATCCTTCACAGGATGTACAGAAAAGCACATCTTCAAATCATCAATATATTTTTTGCTAATGATTTTCAGGATTGTCTTCAGGCTTATGAAGAATAAAAATAACCAAAATTAAAAATTATCTGTTTTGTTTTTAATCTTCCTTGAGACCCT